AAGGTTAGTAATCAAGTGTTTCGTCATTCTATATTTTTTATAGATTTTTTATTTTTATTTTATCGGTTTAAATTGTATTTTTAATCATAATTGAAGTATTAACTACCCATCTTAAAATGAATCTACGCAAATAAAATCATTGTATAATTTGCGAATATTTTATTACATAAATAATTTTAGAAGACGTTATGCTTAGAAACTGTTGCTAAGGAATGTAAACAATGCAGTCGGCACTGTTTATTATGATATATTTCATCCTAAAGACCATGAAATTTGACATCCATGTGTGTTATAAAAAATTAATTATCTGACACTAATTTTTTTGGTCATAATGGTTTTTAGACAGTATTTGAAGTATTAAAAACTGGAAATTGAAGTAAGTATATATTTTATATTCATTGCATCCCTAACAGTTGCATCATATAGGTCTATAATATTAGTTCTTCTTTTACATTCACAGGCTAGGCTTGTATGAGGTTCGAGATGGTGACCCACTGGTTTCCACTCCTAAGTTTCCCCCAGCCAGAAAGCCAGGCTGACTTGTGTGGGAAGAAATGTCATCATAACATGGCTACAATCTGCACCCTAAAGTCTAAGGATTTTCAAGATATGTTTCACACTGAATTTGGTTGAAACATTTGTAAAATACACCTATTCAACTACCATGGGACCTTCTAAACCTTCCATCAACTGTGGTTTGTTGATAACTCAATAACATACCACTTTTACACATTTCTAGGACTACTAATGAGCATGTCAACTGTACAAGTCCTCAGTGTACAAAAATACTTGTCAACCGCAACAATGTTTTATTATTAAGTGCAAAGTGAACTTGTCAGACTTTAACAGAAGTAAGTAAAGATAAAAACCAAAGCAATGTGATATGATGTGATGGATAAGAGATAATATAATTTATACTATGTTCAGTGGAGATAAAATAGACAAGCCTCACTAATTTCAAATAATATGACAGCAAATGGATTTTCTTTTGTGAACAAAACCAAAACTGATGGTGTATTTCTAGGCAATTATTGGGGAGAAAACCAAATATTGTCTAATCAGATTTTGAAATCATACAATTCATTCCTGTGACCTGTATGGTGTTGACAAGTTGATAAATGAATATATCATTCTAAGTAAAGAGAACAGCACTGGACTAATCCCTTTTTCCATTTTGTTGATAAAGCCAGCTATAATCTCTTCAGGATTGTTCAAAAGAAAGCTATGATATAGATGAACTGACATTTTATTCTCAATCGACTTCACCGAGGAAATTATTTTAGCATTTTATTATTTACTAAAAGGGATGCAGTTCCAAGTGCTGCAAATGTAAATAACACCAAATACAAACTAAATGCAATAATTCCTGCATAGATTTTAAAAGCAATTGTCAGTGTGCTAGTGCTATAAATTAGGAATGCTAAGAAAATAAAATTATAAATCAAATATAGCGCATGGTAAATTTATCTTTGTTAAAATAACAAGAAACTTTCTGACTAACAGTACCAGGAAGTTTAAAGCCTCTATTACTTTTTAAAACCTTGAAGTAATTTTTAAAAGGTAAAATAAAAATAACCTGTAATTTTTGTGAATACTTGGTGGGGGGGCGGTGATTTTTATTTTTTTAAAATTATTTCCCCTTTTTGACACATTTTACAAAATAATAAATATTTTGGTTAAATTCTCATGAAATGTTCTAAATCATGCATATGATATAAGAAAATGAATTTGCTTTCTAAATAAACATTTTATTAAATAATTTTATGTGGTTTGTTTTTTTCCTTCTTTGCATGTGATCACCAATTTTAAAAAAAACATTTTAATTTTTTTTAAAATTACATTATTTTGTTCACAACTTTTTAAGTATTGACTTTATGTGTTTGAAAACAATATTTTTAGAAACCTCATGCATCTCCCCACAATAATATATATAACATCATGAACTTTAGACAAGGATTCTAAAAGTTATTGACTCTTTTTTAAGGTCACTAGAAATCTCATGAAAAACTTGCAAAATTAAAGGAATGTAAAGAGTTATGACTTGTATGTTGCAGCTCACTTAAAACTTGCATGTTACACCTCACTAAGACATGTATGTTACAGCTCACTTACGACTTGTATTTTACAGCTCACTTAAGACTTGTATTTTACCGCTCACTTAAGACTTGTATGTTACAGCTCACTTAAAACTTGCATGTTACAGCTCCTTGAGGATGTCATGTCTCTGCTTGATGCTCTGGGTGTCTGGGACACAGAAGCTATGGTTGCCTGGACAGAGATGGTCCACAGAGTGTTCTCAGTGCTGCTAGCATTTTCGAAGCAACCAGATCAGGAGGTATATAAATATTGTCTCATTTCATTGATAGCATGACTAGGAGTTGATGATTGGTATTTGGTGTTGATAATTGATATATGGGGTAGATATTAGGTATTTGGGGTTGATGCTGGTTATTTTGGATTGATACTTGATATTAGGGTTGACTTGTTGGCTGTGTGGTCAGTACCGAACTCTCTGCAGTCCGACTATAGAGAAATGATACTTATATGTACCATAGATTTTGTAGGTGGGTTATTTATTTTTTAATTTTAATTTTTAATTTAAAAAATTATATATTATATTTTAATAATTTGTGTCATTGGTTTAAGTATATGTAAAAATATTAAAATTATTACAAAATTTGAAATTACTGTTAAAAAAAAATATTTTTGGAAACTTAGTCAGCGCGGAGCATCCATTGAAAGCTTTGCCGATTTCCAAAAATCAAAATAATATTAGTGTCACAAAAAAAAATTATTACTGGTATTAATATGGTCAAATGATTTTAATTTCCCGATTTATCACGGAATTATTTGTTTTTCTAATGTAATGTATCCAAATGGAGACTCTTATCATGAAATTTATCCCGATTTGCATATAAAAGTACCGACTAATGCTATCGTAAACAAGTAAGTTTAGTTTTAATTGTCATTTCCCGACTATAAAATTAATAATAAAACAATAAAGTGATATTTTTATAATTTTAATCGGCTGAATTATATAATATTCATTTATACTTATATTGATATATTCTATTTGAATTTTATTGAGTTTCAATAATTTTATAATAAATAAAAAGCGTGGCTATGCGAAATAAATATTTTCTAAAAATAGCGGAAAACTCCGGCCGATAAGAACTTGCGTACTTAAAATAAAATTAAAGTTAAGGACATCTGAGTTATTAACTAAATATATTTCTTTTAAATATGTTATAGCCAAGAATAATCTTCTACATTTTCTAATATTACATAATAGAAATGTGTTTAAATTTAATTATCATTATCGCTAGTCACTAGTATTAGTAGAGACTACTGTCGGCAGAATAAAAAACAAAACATTTATGTTTTTATTAAAAGCTTCTTAACTCTAATGGGAAGGAGGAGAGAGAGATAAAAATGCAGATATTGGATCAAGAAGCCCTTATTCCTTATTGATCCTAAATATTAAGCCTGGACTCCACCCTTTTACTGAGTTACAGAGTTACTGGATGAATAGCTTTAAAGATTTTACCCTAAAAATTAGTGGTGGTAAGTTTTAATCCAATCACTTGGTAGCAAAATGCATAAAGAATAAACTCTCAATATTGTTATAACATATGTTATAATGTATTTTCTATGTACAATGGTTTACTTTTATACTAATTTAGGCATTTGGACTAGGATTAATGGTATTTTCCCTTACTGATAGCATACTATTACTGATACCATTAGTGTTAATTTAATTATGAATCAATCAAATTTTTTTTTTCACAGGTTCTTTATTGAGTGAATATTCTGTGGTGAAAAATCTTACCTAATCTTATGTAGAAATCAAGTCCAAGACAAGCTCTTATTTATCAATTATAATTATTATAAAAAAAGTGCAGACTGTTTTAAGAAATAATATTTGTTCAGAGTCCATAAATATAATTAAGGAATACTGTAGTTTATCAGCCTGTGTTATGTGAGGATTATAACAAAGATATATAAAAATGCCGGTACATGGGAAAAAATAGATCACATTAGTGAGGAATGGATCGTATTTGACATTAATATCAAAATTAGCATTATTGTACTGATACATTTTAATTTTTTTTAACTTTAACATCAGCGAATACCGCTATTTTAAAATTAAAAAAAAAAAAATTGACTCTTGTTTTGAGTTATTTATATATTCATCAAATTTTACTTAGTCATCTTTTACTCAAGAATTATTAAGAAATATATTTAATATACAAATCTATAAGCTATGAGACCCATTTTTTTAAATATATTACATACAAAACATAATTTTAATGAAAAGAAAAATTATAGTGCATTTTTTAGAAAAAAAAGACAAAATATAGGTTTTGCTAAAATGTTGACAACTTTTTGATTGTTCATAGAATGTTTATCATGTTTGACTATGAATTGTATTAGATGATGAAGTATTTTATTTAAATAAATTTTAAATCTTTTATTACAAGGATTTTTTTTCCCCTTCATACGGTGTGAAAATTTTGTCAAAACTTTGCATAAAATGAAAAAAATTAGTTCTCCAATAATGTTTCAATTATTTTTATAACTAAGAAAATAAAATATACAAAAAATATATAATGATAGCTGAGTCAAAGATGAACAATTTAATACATATAACTAATCAGATCAGAGCTACTTCAGATAAGTTAATTAATTATTTTAAAAAATCACCTTAAGATTTTTAAGAAATGTGAAAAAAATGTCAGACTGCAGAGAGTTAAGAGCAAATCAAAACAAAAATCCAAACACCTTGTGTGAATAGATCTCAGAGTCACATGTTGCGCAAAACTTCACCATCGTCGTCTCAATGAGAGGAGCGGATGACTATAAAGTTGTAGAGAAAAAAAAAGTAATGTCAAATCTTTGGATGATTGAATCATCTATATAAGTATTATTGAGTAAAATCTTATTAAGTTTCAATTCATGCTTCAGTTTATTCTCCGGTGTTCATTTTGACCCTTATTTCACAGCTGGAATCCTCGTCAACTGTCATGCTGCACTCCCTCGTCCAAACCAAGCTCATCAGCAGCTTGGCCGAAGCTTCCTACATCCTGGGGGTCTTGAACTCAATGATCAGTAAGTCCATTGAAGGTACTTATAAGTTACTTCACTTGCGTAACAAATTTAGGTACATCACTATTCAGCTTTGTTTCTATTACCCCCAAAACGCAACTTTTTTCATTTACCCCACAATATTAGATATCCTACTATTCAAAATAATATCCGGAACAAAACTATTCAAATTTCAAAACAATATCAGATACCCGACTGTTAAACATCTATTAACAAAAATTCATCTCAATGTTACAGAGAACTGAATAAGCACTATTTAATGCATTGATTTCTCTTGCCAACTCAGAGAACTATGCCTACCTGACGCGTGTGTTGAGAGCTTTGATTGAGAAAGGTCAAGAACTCTTGACCACCAGCATTCATCTCCCTCATCTTCACAAGTCATCCATGAGTCCCACATTTTTTGATGACTTCAAGACATACGTGTACAGTGATGAATGGCAGATGTTTATAAAGAGCTATGTGAGTATGTGTACATGGCAGACATTCATCAAGTGTGTGTCCAGTGATGAGTAGACATACATGGAATATGTGTACATTGGCAGACATTCATAGAATGTGTGTACAGTGATGAATGGTAGACATTCATAGAAAGTATGTGTGCAGTGATGAATGGCAGACATTCATAAATGTATGTGTGCAGTGATGAATGGCAGACATTTGTAGAAAGTATGTGTGCAGTGATGAATGTCAGACATTCATAGAATGTGTGTGCAGTGGTGAATGGCAGACATTCATAGAAAATGTATGCAGTGATGAATGGCATACATTTGTAGAATATTTTTTTACA